TGTCATTCAGGATAAGCACCGACTCAGCCTCCTCCCTGAGCTCTGGAGCTGGCCAGGAAAATAGGGACATCCCGGGATCAAATCAGAAGCAAGGATGGCTTTCATCGTTCTGGGACTGTCCCTGGAAAAATCAAGACACTTCCAGGGCGTGAAATGCGTACTCCATCTATATCAGTGGCTATCGAAAGCAGTCAGACATAAATCAAAACCTGCAATCACACCATCTCCACTTACGTTTGGAGAATTTGGGATACTTCACAGCAGCTAGTACTGTAATGAGTCATTCATATATCTTAAAAGCGGAAAGGAAGCTGGCGTCGCTGCCTATGGTGCCTCAAAAGAACTTTCTTTAGCTACCGTACAAAGAAGAGAGCTTTAAGGACGTTCACCCGCTTGACAAACGTGAATCTTTTCCTTTGTATTCCGCTAACACCCAGTACTCCCACGCACACTGACAAAGCAAACGCTTCTTTATTATTCAGGTCTGCGGTGCAAGAAGCCAAATGATCATTTAATTTACAGTTCTGAAGAAGAGAGTAGTTAAGTACTCCAACGCGTTCAGATGTCTTTAAGAAAAAAAGGAAAGAAAAAATATCTCTCTCCCTGGGCAGCATTCCTGAAGATTGTGGGCGCAAGTTGCCTGCTATTAATGGGCAGTTGATATCAGAGGCCCTATTGTATTGCTCGCTTGTATCAAGTGTGCCATGGAAACAAGTAGGCCTCAAAAGCACATTAACCTGGGAGGATGTGAACTGAAGACAGACTTTGACTCGGTGCTAACATAGCATGGAATGAACTAGCAGGCAGATCAGATTTGCTTCGCTTGCCAGGCGAATGGGAGTGGCTTTGGACGTTACTGAACGGGAAGTTGAGTGGGGGTGTGTGTTATGTATTGAACTGAATAGGATCCAAAATGCAGCAGTCTGATTGGTCCTAGAACAATAGGATTCAGATTGCAGTGGACTGACTGGTCCTAGAACAATAGGATCCAGAATGCAGCAGTCTGATTGGTCCACAGGAGCCACCCAATCCAGCTCCAGGTGGAAGGGAATCCGCAACCTGATTGGCCTACAGGAGAATCCCAGAATTAGCCAGTCACGTGGGGCCCATTGTGTAAATAATGTCTATAAAGCAGACATTCCGGGGGAAATTCCATTCCTCCTCACCACTATGAGCTGAATAAAGAGCATGAAATCCACTCTCGACTCCGAGTATATTTCAGGGCATAAGGCAAAGTGGGCTGGCAGCATACATGCAGAAGTTGCACAGTTCAGTCCCCAACATCTGCAGGCAAAATAAACTCAGGTCTGGGTTGGCAACCAACAAATATTTTGCCTGGCTACTGGCATTTTTGCTTCTTTGTATCAGGCATTGTGGCCTGGGGATGTCTCCTGATTCATCTAAATCTGCCAGGCTCCAATCTCCAAATCACCAAAAGCTAACAGCCGCCAGTCTCTCACCTGCAAAAACTCGCCTCCAGTTCCAACTACTGAATGGATTCTTTTTATATAAAAAAATGATAATGACAACCGTAACAATACGTCCATCTAGAGCAGGCATGGGGAACTGGATTCCCAGGTGGTGGGCTGAATCCAGACCTCTCCTAGCCCCTGCAGCCCACTGTATTTTAGGGAGGAGGGTGCACCCACCTGTCAGCCACATATAAGAGTGCAGCACCCAAAATGGCCGTTGCAATCTTGCTCAAAAAAAGCGGGGTGTCCCATTTTCTCCCAGGACACTTGGCGGGTATGAAAACATGGGGGAAGTGGGGAGAAGGGAAAATGACGCACACCACCTTGAGCTTCTTAGAGGGAAAAGGTGAGGCAGGAATATAAAGAAAGAAAAATAAGATGCACACAGTCACGAAATTAAAGGACGCCTGCTTCCTGGGAGAAAAGCAATGACAAACCTAGACAGCATCTTAAAAAGCAGAGACATCACCTTGCCGACAAAGGTCCGTATAGTTAAATCTATGGTTTTCCCAGTAGTGATGTATGGAAGTGAGAGCTGGACCATAAAGAAGGCTGATCGCCAAAGAATTGATGCTTTTGAATTATGGTGCTGGAGGAGACTCTTGAGAGTCCCATGGACTGCAAGAAGATCAAACACATCCATTCTTAAGGAAATCAGCCCTGAGTGCTCACTGGAAGGACAGATCGTGAAGCTGAGGCTCCAGTACTTTGGCCACCTCATGAGAAGAGAAGACTCCCTGGAGAAGACACTGATGCTAGGAAAGATGGAGGGCACAAGGAGAAGGGGACGACAGAGGACGAGATGGTTGGACAGTGTTCTCGAAGCTACCAGCATGAGTTTGACCAAACTGCGGGAGGCAGTGGAAGACAGGAGTGCCTGGCGTGCTCTGGTCCATGGGGTCACGAAGAGTCGGACACGACTAAACGACTAAACAACAACAAGAAGAAGATGCACACTTGCTACTGCCATCAGCAGGCACAGCCAAACACTTCTGTCTCCCTGGCTGGGGAAGCAAGGCCTGTTGGAGGCAGGCAGACAGGGCAAAGCACTGCCCCAGCTACCTCCTCAGAGGCTCTAGCTGTGCAACATTTTAATTTTTAAAATTTCTAACCCCAGGGCGAGCGTAGTAGTGAGCTATGTCAATCAGACCACAGTTGGGGGGTCATAGAGCCAATGAGAGCACCAGTGTAGCAAGGAGTGGGCAAAGCACCCTCACAGCCTGGCCCCTTACTGTTCTCACCGCAATCCCAAAATGGCTAAAAAACACAAGCAAGTAAGAAGGCAAACAAAGAAAGAAGGCTGCACCAAGGGCCCATCCGGATTTGGCCAGCAGCATTTCTTGTCACATGCAGGAAGGAGAATTTGTCCTTCTCCCCTCCCAAGCAGAGGAAACTTGTCCCCTTTGACCATCGAGGGAAATGAACATTGTTCAAAAATGAAATAAAAAACAGACCCATCCAAAGGCAGACATCACTTCTGGGAGTGCTTCAGGCTACATTTAAAGCTGCCCTGCCTCTGAGCAGTTGTTCTGTCATAAAAGAAAAAAGCACAGCGGCAGGGGAGAATCAAGAAAAGCCCTAGGTATCTGCGTGCTACGCTTGTCCATTGGTACATTCTGTGTGCTTTCTCGAGAACACCAAAACCTACAAAACACATTGGTTGGGCTAGTGGGCAGACTGCTTAAGGTTATCTCCAAGAGATTTTTGTATCTGTTTTATTTATATCATTTGCTTAAAAAAAATTATACTGCTTAATAAAAAAAATTCTATAAGCTGCTTCCATAAAAGCAACAAGAACGCAACAACATTCAATAAAGGTTTCCTAAAAACTAGAATAGAACAAAACAATATATATCACAATTAAAAGCGGGCAGCGTACAGAACAAGATTCCTTGATTTGATGCTCCTGGCAAAAACAAAACAAAAAAGCAACATTTTTATCATCCTCGGAATGTGGCAAAAAAGTCAGATAATTCCATGAGTGCTCAATATTTCAGTTTAACACACACACCCAGAGCATTGTGTCCAATCTGGACATAGAAGAATCATGCTGAAAAAAACAGAGCCTGTCTAGAGGAGGGTGACCAGAATGGTGAGGATCTGGAAACCTATGAGGAAAGGTTGAAAGAGACATGTTTGCTCGGCAGGGAGAAGAGAATCATAGAATTGTTGAGTTGGGAGGGATGCTAAGGGTCATCTAATTCAACCCTCTCAATGTGCGGCCCCCCACCCAATTTGAAACCACGCTTAGCATTGCAAATGTGCTAGACCAAGGGTTGTCACACCGAAAATAGAGCAGATTTATCCTCTCTTGCTCCAGAGGACACAACTTGAACCAATGGATGGAAATTGTAGGGAAGCAGATTTCATCTAAACAGTAAGACACACTTCCTAACAGCAGGAGACAGCTTTGCAAAAAGGGTTGGCTTTCCTTCACATGAAGTATTTAATCAGAGACTGACAGCCATCTGCCAGGGATTCTGAAATCGTATCCTGCACTGTAGAAGCTGCACTTAGTACCTAGGGTGGATTAAATGGGCTCCAAGATACCTTCCAACTCTATGATTCTGTGAAAACTCATTGTGGAATATATTGCATGGTTTCGTTCGATAGGATCTGAATTAAATCAATTACCTCCTCTGCTGGTGATTTTTCAGGTATGTAAAAAATAATAATATTGCAATCAATGCTTTGCCAAGAGATGCTACTGCATTAGGTTTGTGTATCAGCATGTTCATCTGTTAAGAAATGCTGCCTTCCTTTGCTATGTCTCTTAGGCGATAATCACTTACCCGGGAGTAAACCTCATTGAACTCAGTGGGATTTGTAGTGTTCAAGATTATTGGTTAGTAATTTTTACTGTTAAAAAATGATAGTACCCAACAATTATAAAGGAGTCTACTAACACATGATTACTTGCAGAAGTCAAAGGCATATCAAGACTTCTCAGTTTGTTGCAGCATAATGGGTATGAAAGAACTGCCACCAATTTGGTAATCTAGTATCAGCACAGACAAAAAAATTTGTAGCCAACTGCGCAGTCCCAAATCCATCGGGTATACCATTAAATTCCTTTCCCAATCCTGCAGCATTCAGGATCGAAAACATGGAAATGGAAATTAAACTATTTGTTATCTACCAGTTGCAAATCTGAATGCCAGTCAAAACAGGTTCCTAAATTCTACAACTACAGTTGATAATAACAGAAGTTATCAGCAAAAAAACAAACAGCAGCATAATGGGAAACAAATTGATCCCATTACCGCTGCAGCTGAATCAGAGTCTAATTTGCACACATGCTTATGAAAAAGTGTTGTGAGCGTGGCATGAAAAGCAACAGCATCCTCAGGTTTGCAGATATGAAACACAGCAAGTTATACATTCATCAATCATCTTGCAAGAGAAATCAAACCTAAGCTACAAATCACTAGCATTATAGCAACATCCTATTTTTTTTTTAAAGCAGCACGCTTCTGAATCAGAGATCACTGTGTGCTCCATAATTCACAAGAAAGGCATTTTACTTACAAGGCTTCTTAAGCAAATTGATCATTTTGAACGGCAGGTGAGAGGCAGAAGCAGAGAGCCTTTCCTGCTTTGATCCCCTTCAAAGGAAAAACTGAAACTATGAGATCACGGATGGAAAAATTTATCCCAAAATTGGTTAAAGAATATTTAAAAGCAAATGAAGTTTGTGTGGGCACAGCCTGGTGGTTCAAGTTGAAAATACACGGGCTATATTTGGATTACAGAAAAAAAGAAACGCCCACAGATGTCTTTGGAAAGTAAAGAAGCCTCTAGCAGGAATTGTTCCTACTCAGTAAAAGTCAGCAAGGCAGGGCTCAAATTATATAACAGAAGGAAAAGGGGGGGGGACCTTAACAAAATGCACAAGCCCCAACTTCAAACCTCCTCCCCAGTTTAACCAAGTCATGACAACTCTATGGACTTCTAAAAAAACAGTAGCTTAGGGGGCCACCAGAAAAAGATTGGGTTGGAGAACTTTTGCATAGATTTAGCATAGGAATAATGAGCTTGGGCCCCACAGCTACCTCAAATATTGTAAAATATATCCCATTCACTTGCGTGATGACTTAGCCTCGCCACATCAGAGCGAAAACATATGTTCCTTGATAATTATGGGCTGATTGCATAGGCTGGAACTAAACTGTTAAGGAACAGAAAGAAGGTGGCTGCTGAAAATAGAAGCCCAGTTTTGTGGTACCTTCTCCTCAAGAATGTATAGTACTATTTACCTCATATCCTGACATCAGCCAGTGGCATGGAGCAGGAACAGAGGGAGATTCAGCAAAATGATATCAAGGCATGAGGTAAATTGGAAAAAGGTGGACTTAACATGCCAGCACTTGGAACTGAGCTTGAGAATGAACTGGTGACTAATATAGTAGATTCAAAACTGGCTTAATAGTTGCCATCCAGCTGGTCCAAGCCAATGATCATGAAGCAGTATATATTCTGCTAATGACAGTTTCTGATCATTCCTCTGAGGCAGTCCCTGCATACAGCACTGAGGACCGTGGTGAGGCCATTTCTGTCCCGGTGGGATTGCAGTTAGCACATTAGCCTCAGCTAGTAAGAAGTACCTGGGAGCCTCAGAGGCCATTTGTCTCTTCAAAGTTACAACGTCTGATATTTCAGGGAGAGCATCGCCCAGCCCACAACAAGCTCAACATCACCTCCAAGTCCAGATGAGTCACTCCTCACCACACCCCCGTCTTATCTTGATTGGGTTAGTTACTGACCACAGCCCTATTCAGGCATTAGGGCCGATTAGGGAATGTCAACATGAGCAGGAGCTGGGGATACTCATCGACTCCATCCCTCAAAGCCCTCATGTGAACGAGCCTCCACTCCTGACTTTCCCATATTGAGTGGGAAGCTCTGAAGAGGCACACCCTGAGAAGCCTCCACACACAATCAGGAACTCTGCCTTATCAGGGGTCCTGAGAACCACACAGGTCTTTAGCCTCCTTCTGACCCCACCGGAAGTAGAGTATACAGGGTCCAGTATACAGCAATATTGGGGTGGCGGCATCAGAATGCCTCTCTCTTCCTGTTTACATCCCCTACTCAGGCTGGGCTAGAATTTCAGGACTGCTACAGCTTCAGCCAAGTTTGATGAAATGGTTAAATAGAGCAGGGTTCCATCGGCTTAACACTTTGCCCCTAAATCCCTGGAAAACATTACTTGACATACTAATATAGATAGACTTATTAAAATAGCACGAGCATCTACTGCCCATCAATGCCCATTAAAAAGCTTACATAATTAGCTGCCAAGCTATACAAAAGCCTAGAGAAAAAGATGGCCAAGTCTTCACAATAGAGCATGTCTGCGCTCTCTGACAATGTGTAATGAAGGGCAGTTTCCTTGTCCATTCTCTAGCTGTGTCTTTTATATAGGAATAGGGGGAAAGTAAAAACTCTTAGCATGACCTTTGGGGAAACACATTAGCAGCACTGACACCAATTTCACATTTTATTTCAATTGCCTGCTTCAAGGCGAGCAATAGCCTCTGGGCCTGCTAAGAGCTTCTTTAACTAAAATCTAGATATAAATCTTTCATGGTCACTTTATCAGGGCTTATGAAACTGTTTTCTTCTCTTCTTTCAAATATGCATTATGCTCAACCTTAGACAATGGGGTAAGAGAGTTTGAATTGATGCCAGAGTTAGACCTTGAACTCAAGACAACGTGCCGGTTCAGCAAATACACACCCTGGTGAGGGGGGGGGAGAAGTGAGCTCCACTCCAGATGCCTGTCAGCGCAGATGAATGTTAACAAAATGTAAATCAACCAAAATTAGCAAAAGGTTGCAAAAATTGCCCTATTAGAAACAAAGCATCATGACGCCCAACAGTTACACGAAGGGCTGAATGTGTTGTCTGTGAAAAGAACAGTGGTACCTCGGGTTACAAACACCTCAGGTTACAAACGCTTTGGGTTACAAACTCCACTAACCCGGAAGTAGTACTTGGGTTGAGAACTTTGCCTCAGGATGAGAACGGAAATTGTGCGCCGGCGGCACGGTGGCCCCCATTAGCGAAAGCGCGCCTCAGGTTAAGAACAGTTTCGGGTTTAAGAACAGACCTCCGGAACGAATTAAGTCTGCTAACCCAAGGTACACTGTAGTAGGACTGGTTCCAGTGAGAGCACACCGCCCATGTCTCCTAAAATCTTTAATCCACCTCTCCTCCACGTGAATTAGGAGTTCACTTTTTGAATAATAAGAATTATATGTCACGGGGCAGGGCATCAGGATTTTAGAGATGCTTAGGTGGGCATGACCAAAAAAAGGTTGGGAACCACTGTTCTAGAACTTCATTTGGTGGGCCACACATTTACGGACCTCAGCCTGTCCCACACATTTGTGCTAGCCATGGGAAATAGCAAAGGATTATTATGTTTAATCATAAGATAGTTATTTATTCATTTAGGTATCAAATTGAAATTTTATCAATAGGTTATTATTACAGCTGGGCGACTTTTCAATTTATTGTCTGAAACTGGTATGACGTACAGATCGCGATACAGGTTGCAGACTTTTTGAGCTGGCAATATACATCGCTGTTCCCCAACCACTGCCAGCACAGCACATTTTACTCCCAATCTCTTTCCTCCAGAGTGATCCAGCTCCGAGGGCCTTCTGGCGGTTCACTCACTGTGAGAAGTGAGGTTACAGGGAACCAGGCAGAGGGCCTTCTCAGTAGTCGTGGAACGCCTTCCCGTCAGATGTCACAGAAAAAACAACTATCTGACTTTTAGAAAACATCTGATGGCAGCCCTGCTCAGGGACGTTTTTAATGTTTGATGTCGTATTGTTTTAATTTGTTGGAAGCCACCCAGAGTGGCTGGGGAAACCCAGTCAGATGGGCGGCATATAAATAAATTATTATTATTATTATTATTATTATTATTATTATTATTATTATTATTAGGTGGCTCATTCATAAGTCAGGAGGAACCTGTGCAATCATTTAAACAGTATTCCAGCAGTTCCCATGCAATTATGGTAACTTCATAAGGACTCCACACTGATAATTGAAGGTGTTTGTCTGAGCTTGCTAGTGGAGAGAGCAGTCTCTGCTGCTAATGCTCATCCTTGCATTTCAGCAATGACATAACTCTTAAGTATTCATATTTTACTCAAAAAGAGACCTGGCACCTTGCCTTTCTTGTCTAATTAAAGTTGGAGATCCTTTAAGCTCCTTCCAGTATTGTTTTTTCTCATACGTATCTGCTGACAGGTAAATTCCACTGCCACTTTTCATGGATTGGGTGGTTAAAAAAACATTCATGCACAGCCAGAGAGATAAAAACTGCAAACTGAAAGAAGTGTAAAACACCGTTGTAAGGGGTGGGAGAAAGGCAATGAATTTAGTGAGGTCACACAGCACGCTTCAACACACAATGAAATTATTCTCTTCAGCTGAATAATTTCATGTCAGTACACTGCACCAATAGTCACAGCAAAAACAAACAAAACCCACACTATTTGCAATTATAAAGAGACAGAACCATCACAATGCTATCTGCAACCATTAGTTCTCTTTATGCTTCCACTTTCTCCAGTTCCAACCCAACTATTGGGCCAATGGAGCATCTGCCCCAAGCACAGCTTGTGACCCAGTGACCAACGGACAAGTACTGATTGCCCCTTACCCTATGACCTCTTAGAAGTGTAGATATGAGGGAACTTATAATAAAGACCAGTGAAAAAATAACCAGGTTCAGTCTTTTATTCTGTCTCCAGTTATGGAGTCAGCTTTGGGGAAAGTTATGAGGACAAAATCTCATATAACATTTTCCTGTGCGAAAAGGCTAAAGTGATTTGGCCTTGTCAGTTGGGTGAGGGGATTGTCTCAGGGGAGACTTGACAATATGTTTATAAATTAATGCATGGGGAAAACAGAGAGGAAGCTTTTCTCCCCCTCTCAAAAAAACTAGAATTTGGAGCAGCCTTACCCCTCAGAGCTACAATTCTCAGCATCCGGGACACAGCTAAAGCAGTTTGCAAAATTCTTCAGGTGGGGATTGTGCTTTGAATGTGCTTTAAATATATGATGTGTACGCAGCCACAATCAAATGTATGGCTTTCTCCACTATGAGATGAAGTCATGCCTTCAAAGGAGAATTAGACCCATTCACGTTGAATAGACCCATCAGTGAGGAACAGTTGAGAGAATTGGGTATGTTTAGCCTGGGAAAGTGGAGACTGAGAGGAGATAGCCACCTTTGAATATCAAAAGGGCTGTCAAATGGAGGATGGAGCTCTGCTCTGGAGGGTAGGACCTGAACGAATGGCTTCAAGGTACAAGGAAGAAGATTCTGACTACATGTCAGGAAGAACTTTGACAGTAAGAGCTGCCTGACAGTGGAATGGACTCCCTTGAGAGGCTGTGGACTCTCCTCCTTTGGAAGTTTTTGAGCAGAGGTAGGGTGGCCATGTCATGTTGGATGGTCACCTGTCATGTATGATTTAGTCGAGATTCCTGCATTGCTAGGGGGGGGAGTAGATGGGCCCTTGGGGTCCCTTCCAACTATACAATTCTACGAAAGCCACTGAACATCAGTTGCTAGGGAACAACAATGGAAGAGGGCAATTGCCTTCAGGCTTGCTTGTGAGTTTCCTGGAAGCATCTGTCACTGTGGAGGCA